TAGTATCTGGTTAGTGAGATGTTTTGTTGAATTTTTGACTCCTGCCAGGTGAGATATTTTTTGTTGGATTTTTGACTCCTGCCTCCAGTGCCTGTTAACCTCCTGCCTCAGAACCTGTTTACCATTAAATCACTTAAATTCATCTTTTCCCACTCGTCTCTGCATTTGGATCCTCAAACCAACACCACCAAATCCTGACAGATCGCAAAAAAGGGAAAAGTTTCTTCTTCCTTCTTCCCCGTCCCACTCCCTTAAATCATCCATGCAATGGAAAAACAGAACACTTTATTTTCCATTTAATTTACTCCAATTGCATTTAGAAGCTTGGGAACTTTTCTCAGCCAATAAGATGTCTCTGGATTCTTTTCAGTCAATAAGAGGCAGAAAAAAGAAAGAGAGAAAGAGCATAGGTGCATACATAGAGCCTATATCTTTAACAACCCATTCAGTCAATCCCATTAGATAGTTCCTCTTTTTCTCCCTCTCAGTGACATACCCCTTCCTTGTTCTGCTCCAGTCAGTTATGGCATTAGATATTGGTGTGTTATGCTTTAATTGTGAAGATTTTCTTAAAATATTTTGCAAGGAAACCAGGCTGACCTTACCTCATTTGGCATTCGATCCCAGAACAATACGCAAATTGCAGCTGATCTAATGAAAACCCCACAAGTGCGTTAAGATGGATGAGGAACATTTTTATTAAATGCAATTAGTACTGCTGTGTTTCACGTGCTGAGGTCACTTGGGTTTGCAATCTACGACGCCAATACAGAAGGTCTTCAGCAGCTGTGGTATTCTCAGATTAAGATTGAGAAAGATTCAATTCAGTTTATTAATATAGAAGAGCCTGGAGCTGATGGATCTGTAGATCCCCTCTCCCCTTTGTCACACTTAGTAACAAGGAACAAAAAAAAAAAAAAGAAGGTGTTTTTTCTAGATGATTACAAAAGAGTTTAAAAACCTTACTGTTTTAGTGTAATGTTAGACATTGGAGCATCATTATGATTGATAATTGTAATTGATTTCTTTAAGGGAACCACCATCATTCCTGTCCTGACTTCTGTTCTGCACGATGAGAGTGAATGGGAAAGGCCAAGCACCTTTTATCCAAACCACTTCCTAAACAAAGATGGAAAGTTCCGGAAGCGTGATGCCTTCTTGCCATTTTCAGCAGGTTAGCTTAGTTATGCTTTTAAATGGATCTTGATTCTTCAGGAACTAGTTGATGGTTATTTTTTTATAGGTCGCAGGATGTGTCCTGGAGAGAGTCTGGCCAGGATGGAGCTCTTCATTTTTTTCATTACGCTCCTGCAGCATTTCCGTTTCTCTCCTGCTCCTGGAGTCACAGAGGAGGAATTAGATCTAACTCCACGTATTGGTGGTACTCTCAGCCCCCAGCTCCACAAACTGTGCGCTATTCCTATAAAATGAGCCTGGATGTCTTTGTGCAAAAATAAATATGCAGACGGTCAGAAAGAAAGATTAAATACAATCTACCAAATACTACAAATACAATTAATGTTTGAACTTCAAGGCATATTGAGGTTTTTTTTTTTTACATTTTACAGTTTTTGCATAATTTTCACCATATTGACGATTTTAAGAGATGATTGTTGGAAGCTTGGCAAATCAATGTAAACATGGCTTGGCTTGTATTACTATAGATTTAAATGTATGTCACCTGTTTTAGTTTGACAAAAAAGGCTGCACATCGAATTACATCTGAGCTGGTAGAGTTCCGCTGACAAGATGGAGGGATTTTCCAACAGCTACGTTTAATTGTCTACATACGCCAGAGAGAAAACAAATGGTATTTAGGCTTTGATAAAATCTGGGTGTTTAGATGCATGTGTTTTTCATGTGTACTTATTAACATGCACTGTCCCGATCAAATGAATAAATGAGATAAATATCAGAAGAATTCTAGTGCATAATTTACACACTTTCATTCACAAGTATTTAATTTCCTAAACCACAGTGTTTACTATCCTCAAATATTTATAATTTATGTTGAATTGGCTGTGTGTGTATTTTATTATTTAAGAAAAAAAAACAAAAAACTAGCCAAACCAAATCTTCGGTAGGTGCCATGCTGGTCATCTGTGGATGTTTTACATATAACACTAAAGTTTCAGACATGAAAATAATCCTCTGTGATGTAAAAAAAATTTTCTTTTTCTCCAGCTTTTATTGTTATTACATTGTCACAATTATAGAGAAATGAAATTAACTCTCTGCATTTAACCCATCCCCTTAGGCAACAGTGGGCTGCCATTGTGTGGCACCTGGGGAGCAGTGTGGGGTTAAGGGCCTTAGCTCAGAGAGCCAGTGTGGCAGTCTGTGGGAGTGGGACTTGAACTCAGAACCTCTGGATTCAAAACACAATGCCCTCACCACTAAAAAGAAAGAAAAAAACTTCAAATACATCTTGTAAGATGTCTGTGAAGTCCCTCTACCTACACACGGGATCTTCATTTTGCATCTGACATCATCATCCCCTCCATAATGTCCTGACCTAGAGACATGAGGACCATTTATACCTTTTTGCTTCATTCTTTTCCTATTCTCTATTTTAAGGTGAACTTTTTTTCTCTCTGCTTCTCCTTGTCATACTTGTTTCATCTGGTCTGATTCTGTTTAGCTGTGAGATCATCAGGGAGTCATCAGCTGCATCCTCTTTGACAAGGAAACCATCTCAGGGATCATCTGCCTAAATAATTATTTTCTAGGCAGATCCACTAGTGGAGATGGTTCACTGTTACTGTCATGAACCGAGGACAGATGGACCCAGTATTCAGGAGAGACAGTCAGTAGGAAAGTTCAAAAGGTTTATTAAAATAAAAACAAAACAAAATCGGAGCTGTGGCTCACGGAAACTGCAGGCGGGGCACCGCCCAATCTCAGACACTCTAGGGGAGGAAACACAGGTAAGTGACCACGATAAACTGATATATGATTATCTGGGTTGGTCACTTACCTGGTTTAACAGTCCAGACGACGAGTGTCCCCAGTGCTGGAGTCCCAGAGGTCATGCTGGAAGCTGATCCTG